ATTTTCAATAGATGTATGGAATTTAATACTACATTCTATTACATATTGATAAAAATGCTTTCTGTTAGGGATTTGAGATCGTTTACTGTAAACCTCACAACACAGTAACCAAATTCAAAATGGCGGATCTAACATGGCTAACCAAAAATATAAAAAAGTACGTAAAAACTCCCAGAAATAACTACTCGGAGCTTTTCGATGATGCTGATTGCAAATATGGTCACAGATTTTTAAAATTCAAAATGTCGGATCTAACGTGGCGAACCAAAAGTATAAAAAACTACTTAAAAATTGTAATGATGTTATAGTGTTGATCAGAGAATATAATGAAAGATGTTGAGGTTATGTGAGCCATTACATCAAAATTTGATGATGTGAATTTATTAAGTTATTACTTACATACATGATACAAGTTTCAATTACAAAATTCAAATTTCGACTGTCATTTTGACATTAATTAATAGGCGACTTTTTACTAATTATAATATTCTTTTCGCAACCAGAAATATCGAAAAGCACAGAGTAGTTATTTCTAGGTATTTTTACGTAGTTTTATATACTTCTGTTTCGCCATGTTAGAAGCGCCATTTTGAATTTTGAAAATCTGTGACCATATTTGCAATCAGCGAAATCGAAAATCACCGAATAGTTATTTCTGGGAATTTCTACGTACTTTTTTATATCTTTTGGTTAGCGATGTTAGAACGGCAAATTGAATTTGTTTACTGTGTTGTGAGGTTTACAGTAAACGATCTCAAATGCCTAACAGTAAGCATTTTCATCAATATGTGATAGAATGTAGTACTAAATTACATAATGTTCGATATAAAACTACATTTGTAGACTCTTGACAGCCATTTTAAAGACCGCCATGTTGAATTTTGAAATCCGTAAATATACTTTATGCATCTCAGGACTTGCGGAAGCGATATTGAAAGCGTTCGTACATATCCTGATACTGTAAAACTACAAAAAAAATCATTTACGACGGACAATGTTTAAAAAATATCATTTTTTTATCTGAAAGTAGCTATATATTTTTTTCCTTAAAGCTATTTCAATTTTCATTGCAGAATCTGAAAGAGCAGTTCTTGAAACATTATTTTACGCAATGCTGAAATGCTTTTAACACCAAAAATCAGATTAAATATATTTTCTTTAAAAAATAATGGATTTCCGTACTTTGTGCGACAATAGCGACCTCTAGAAATTGTTTCAAAAATCTGAAAAAATTAGGAGAGTTTTTTTAACATGTAAAAGATATTAAGAGTGTAAGACTTGGAAAAATTAAAAAAAAATTGTTGGACCACCCTATTAGTCATATATTTATTGCTTTAATAATTATTAAAATAAATTATTGTTGGAATTACATTTATTTTAATATTACATGGAGAGAAATAGATGGTACGGAGTATTATCTAGATAATACCAGGTACCATATTTGATCTTACATATACGGACAGCTATCTAGATTCTATCAGTTACTATCCAGATTGTAAGGAGTAACATCTTGATTATAGTGGGTAACATAACCATATTTTTTGTAACATCTTTGATGGTACCGAGTAGCATAATGGTGTTATCGGATAATATCTACTTTTAACCATCTTAAGATAATAAGATCTTACCATCCATTTCTCTCCGTGTATAGCAAAAGTAGAAAGGTTTTAGAAATATTTATTTTTCATAATGTTCACATATAAATCAACTATTTATTTGATGCAAATATTTTTTATTTGTTTTCATAAAATAATTTATTACACTGAAAAAAAATTATTTGCATTTATTGATACATGCATAAGAAAATTTAAAATAAAGTGTTTCAATTTAGGGAAAAAGTATATAAAGTATAACTTGTATAAATTCTTATCAATATATATAATGAATGTAAGAATAAATATTATTTGAAGAATGATATTCGTAAAATTTTATATGAAGTGTTGGACTTCCACGACAATTTCCGAATTCAACCGAGTCCGACTTCGTGTTTAACCCGAACTGTCCCGATTAAATCCGCGATCACTAAAAGTCTTTGTTATATTATTAATTCGCCGTACAAATTAAAGAGATACATAAGCGCCATTGTCGCTAAGGTTGATTTTCTCATGTTTATACTATAGTAATAACGACAATGGCGCTTGCGATCTTTTTTATCTGTAAGGCAGAATTTACACGTATATGAGAAAACATTATTTAATTTTATTTAAAAATTTATACTGAAAAATGATCTTTATAAAGTTACGCAATTTGCATTAGTTCATATCCTATTAAATTATTTTCGGGTTTAAGGTATTACAAGTAAATTTTTTTCTCACACGTGCTAAATAATTCCAGTGGTTAGTATAGGGAAGAGTGACAAAAAGTGGGAAAGTTTATACAGTAGGACACTTTAATTTTCTGAAAAACTACTTAAAGAAACTTGACCAAAATTTAAATGTAAACCATGTTTATGACAACACATGCACTATCTCCAAAAATTTTAGCCACATTGATTCATTATTTTCAAAGAAAATTGAAAAAAACAGTTTTTGACGTACCAGAGTAAATTTTTTCTTGAAATACAATAATTATTTTTATATAGAGAGGACAGTTTTAAAAAAAAGTGTAATTGTTACATCGTTTACTCATGTTTTTAAGTATAATCCCTATTGAAAAAAAACACGTATAATTATACGTATAATAATACGTATAATTATACGTATAATTGTACGTATAATTATACGTATAATTGTACGTATAATTATACGTATAATTATACGTATTATTATACGTATAATTATACGTATTATTATACGTACAATTATACGTATAATAAGACATACGAATTTGAAACAAGAATTATACGTATAATTATACGTATAATAATACGTATAATTAATTATACGTATTATTATACGTATAATTATACGTATTATTATACGTATAATTATAATTCTATTAAAAATAGAATAATAGAATAGAATAGATTAATTAGTAGCAAAATTGCGCTGAAAATTTTTAAAAATTTTAAAATGCAAATTAAATTTCACGAAAAAAAATATCGTCGAATGTCAATTCAAGCAGTCACCCATCCAAGTACTAACCGCGTCCAACGTTGCTTAACTTCTGTGATCTGATGAGAACTTGTTCCTTCGCCTTGGTGTTTCCGCTGTCTTGTCTTGATTAATAACTTTGTCGTATAAGTATCACTAAAAGTGAGGTTAGGTGCGATACAATACTTATACGACATAGTTATTAATCATGACAAGACAGCGGAAACACCAAGGCGAAGGAACAAGTTCTCATCAGATCACGAAAGTTAAGCAACGTTGGACGCGGTTAGTACTTGGATGGGTGACTGCTTGAATTGACATTCGACGATATTTTTTTTCGTGAAATTTAATTTGCATTTTAAAATTTCTAAAAATTTTCAGCGTTATTTTGCTACTAATTAATCTATTCTATTCTATTATTCTAGTTTTAATAGAATTATAATTATACGTATAATAATACGTATAATTATACGTATTATTATACGTATAATTAATTATACGTATTATTATACGTATAATTATACGTATAATTCTTGTTTCAAATTCGTATGTCTTATTATACGTATAATTATACGTATAATAATACATATAATTATACGTATAATAATACGTATAATTATGCGTATAATTATGCGTATAATTATACGTATAATTATACGTATAATAATACGTATAATTATACGTATTATTATACGTACAATTATACGTGTTTTTTTTCAATAGGGATATCCAATAATTTAAAATATTTTAAAATGCAAACAATTTTTATTTAAATAATTTCTTGCGATTGCTTAATTTAAACACTGGGACAGGCAAAAATTTAAGTTTATGAAACGTGGATTTTGTCAACACTGATTATAAGTTCCGTCAGCTATACGCATGCGCATTTATACTTACACAGCGACTGAAAATGTGATTTTTTAATGCTAAAAAACAATAAAAAATTCAAAATTTATAATTAATAATTATTACAATTATTGTTCGACAACATTTAAAAAGTAACACTTGATAAGAGAACGACTATTTAAATTTCGCTCCAAATTGTTTTTAGGTTATGAAAAAAAACGTGAAAAAAAATAATAGCAATTTTTTATATGCGAAACTTGACATCGTATTATAAAAATGTAAAATATTATTAAATTATAAGTGTTTTGCAACATTTGTTAACGTTATTTAATGCAAAATATATATATTTACAAAGTTTGAAGCAGAAAATTATTATTGAAATAATTATTCGGTACTTAATAATAGGTGTCCCACTGTTAAACACAAACCTTCAAAACAAGAAAAATGTATCAAGTTTCAAAAACTTCAAATTTTTTTATTTAATCACAATATAATCTTAATAGAATATGTGCATTGTGTAGAAAAGAGTTCAAACTTTATGGTAATACCAAAAAGTGTTCAAAAATATATAAAAGTGACATATTAATATGTCTTTGAAAAAAAGTGTCCTACTGTTTGTCACTCTCCCCTATATATATATATATATATATATATATATATTGTAAAAAACTACGTTATAGAATATGAACGAACTTTATATGTTATTCTAAAAAAAGTACAAATTTCCCTAAATTGAAATAAAATATATTAAAATGTAATACGTGTTTTCGTACATTTTACAAATAATTTTCTTTCAGTGTAGCATTAAATACTGCTTTATTTTTATTAAGTAGTTTAATTTACTTAAATCAATAAAATAAATTTATACCACATACCACAACAGAAAACTGCTGTTTCAATATTGGAATAATGCCGTTTTAGCATTGTGATACTGCGAATTGCTCTGTATCACAATGCTATAACAGCAGCATTCCAATACTAAAACAGCAGTTTTCTGTTGGCAGTGTTGGCTCTACAGCGCGAGTGCTGGCGGGTTAAATGTCTTTCACTACCTAACAAATACAACAAGAATTTTTGGCTTCTATTGCAACCGGTGTAATACCTTAAAGATTTAATACCTACTTGTTAAAAAGCACAATATCAGGTCTCCACACTTTATCAGGTGGTAATCTCAAAACAGCAATTCCACCATAGTCAGATTCATCCCACTGTAGTTGATAATCTGTCCACGTCAGTCTTAACCAGACATTAGATTTCATAATTTGATTTTTTTCATTCTGAAAAATTATTACATATTTTAAGATAATTTGAAAACAAAAATGCTATTATTTCTGAAATAACTTTTTTTTTGGTTAAATGTAAGTAAACATTTTGGGTATCTCTTTAAAAAAATCTTCCCCGTGCAGAAATTAAAATGGGGTCCACACCAATTTTCCCTATGGACCGTATCAAAGAAACTGATCAGCGCCCGACCTGGCCGTGACGATATTCACGATTAATCCTCTACTTAAGGAAAACTGATCAGATACTTGTCAGTCCCGTGCAGAAATTTTAAGGTTGATAAGATTACCTTATACCTTAAATAAGGTTGCCTTATTATTACTAGGGACAAACTAAGGAAAACTAATGCGGACCCTCTACTATTTGCCCCGCTGCATATTCTAATTATATTAGAATTATATGCAAGTAAATTTTTTTATACTACTAATAATATTTTTAATAATTAATAAAAATTATAATTAACATTGATTTAATTATTAAACATCATTGTAGATTTTTATGACACTTGATACACACTTACATTCTAATTAAACACGAAAACTTAAATTAAAATTTGAACGTTATGGGGACCAAACCCTGGACGCGTTACAACTTACATGTAAAAAATTTTCAGATAGTATACTTAAATTCTTTTATGCAGACGTTTTTAAAAGTAATGACTTAACCAGAAACGTAAGAAGGGAACGTATTTTCTAACCTGATCAGGAAATTATAGGGCCCTCATAAGGCTAGATGAAAAAAAGCATTAATGAGACAACCTTTTAGGAACCTTTCTAACGGTGTTTTATTAGTAAAGCTATTTACGGCTGTTTCTACACGGGCGTTTTTACAGAAAATACCCTATTATGTAAAATAATTCAACTATTAAACATTTCAAATGTTTATTTATTTAGAAAAAGTTAACACATTTTAACTCATTCAACCATTATTTTTTGTTTATATAAAATATTTAGAATATTCAAGTATAATATTGACTCAGTTGATCAAGGACTACAGAACCCATGTCATCCTGAAGATATTAATTACGCGACTGCAAGAATATTCTTATACTGAGTATACAAGTTTCATCGAATTGGCCTGATTAATCGAAGCCACACCTAAATATATAAAAATTTTTGAAGAAGAATAAATAGAAGAATAACATTACCCGGTAAGAAGACTTACATTAAAAAGTATTGAAAAATTCCACCATTTCATTGTTATTTACTACAAAAGTAAATACTTTTGAATTCCGTTTCTGTCCACCCACGTGAAAAAGTTCCCGGGAGATTCCCGGGAATTTCTCAGAAAAAATTCCCGCAAACTTGTTAACCCTTACGTGAAGCATTGTAGGTGTCTCTGAAACAAAAAACTTTTGTTTAAGGCGTAAAAAATTTTTGTAAGTATTTAAAAAGTTTCATTTAACACTAGGAAGTACCCAGAAGCATATTTAAAGTTTAGGTTAATCATATTTTGCATGTTAATTACTTATAGAAACCTATTCAAGGTTTCAGTCTGAGATCCAGGTAATTAATCGACATTTTCCAATGTATTAAACTGAAAAAAATCAATAGTCGATTACTAGGATCTCTCCAGGTACTTCTCTAAAAGTTAGTTAAATTTCGATAACTTCTTCGAGGAAGAAAACCCTAAAATATGAAAGACGATCGCTACAAGAGATTTCCAGGTACCTATGATTACTCCGGGTAATTTTTCGTCAACTTCTGGAACAAGTTAACCTTAAAACGTGATAAATGATCACTAGGAAGTTTCAAAATATTTTCCTAGTGTTCAGGTCGTTTTCATAAACTTTTTCAGGGAAGTTTATGTTAAACAGCTCAATCGTTTACGAGAAGCAATTATCATATTACCTAAACTCAGTCAAAATCAAATATCTACAATTAACCTTCAAATATTTGCTCCTAGGTCAATTGATTTTTATCAACTGTCTCCGTCAAATTAAATTTAAATCAGTTAATTATTTATTCCATGTAATTTCAAACAAAAAGTTTTTATCATAATTAAAATTTTTTCTTCTGATTATTTATTTATCAATTTATATTTATATTTTTAATTCTTGAAAAACAACTTAAATATCTTCAAAAATATCGTTGATTTTTAATTTTTATTAAACTTTTATGTACAGACATTTACTAAATTACAGAATAAAACATTTTGATTAATTTTTTTTAACTATAAAACATTCTCGAAGTATTAAACATAACATACAAAAATACCAACAAAATTGTCTGAATTTGAAATTTCATAACCTAAACTTTAAATATGCTTCTGGGTACTTCCTAGTGTTAAATGAAACTTTTTAAATACTTACAAAAATTTTTTACGCCTTAAACAAAAGTTTTTTGTTTCAGAGACACCTACAATGCTTCACGTAAGGGTTAACAAGTTTGCGGGAATTTTTTCTGAGAAATTCCCGGGAATCTCCCGGGAGAATCCCGGGAACTTTTTCACGTGGGCACATATTTGAATTTCCGAGATAAACACGGAAAGAAAAGGTATCTTTGTCCCAACCATAAAAATATTGTTGGTCATAATATTGTTGAGGCATCCATACATATAGCTGAAGCAGCTTTCAGTATGGTTACATTGACAAAAAAGAATGGTTGTGGCAACCATATAATATTTGTACCTATGATATGGATATATCAACCATAGCTTTAGTTGAGGTAACAATATTGGTTTGGATTTTAACAGTTTTGTTATCCTATCCATTTTTGAATTGCTAAGGCCCCTATAGACGCCTGCGCACCTTGTCTGCGCGGTGATGCAATATATTACGTCTATATTACTCGCATTAATTCCAAGTGTCGCGAAACGTGTATATGTCCGCAGTCCTAAACATTTTCTATAATCATTTAAGAATTATATTGATCCCGGTTAATGTGTTTTTTAAGTTAAAAAATGGAAGCTGAGTGCGTTCTTTTAAACAATTTACATTCACCTTTCCCAGTCATAATTTGTAAATGGGGAAATTCTTCAATGTTTGCGACACTTAGGCACGCACTATAATTATTATAATACTATAATAAAAGGTGCGATACGATTGTTTATTTTGTTAACGAATTTGTATTTGGCGATTATTTCAAAAAAATAAATACGTTTTTATGGGACTCAATGTTTTAAATTAATCAAAAATAACCTTATTGATAATATTAAACAAATTAAATAAACATAAATTGTAACCATATAAAATGGTTGCTTCAACAATATTAATATGGTACACTAAATAATGGTCGAAGCATCAATTAAAAATGGTTGTCACATCCATATTAGCATTTGTATGTTTTCCAAATATATGGTTCCTACAGCCATATATTCTAGTTGTGCTAACAATTTAAAGCTAGCTATTTAATATGGCTGGTGCAACCGGAGGTATGGTTGGGACGTATTTTTCAAGAAGAATTTTCGATCACTGCTTATATACCAATCTAATGGCACCTCAACTGCGAGAAACAGTTATGATGTTCGCCCTCCATGTGGCGTTGAGCGAACTAAAGTTCAGAGCTGATATCAGCGAAGCGCGGGAACATTTGAAAAATTTGATTTTATTAGATATTTTATTTTAAATATGACAAATAATTAATTTAATAAATAATTAAATTAATATATAATTATTAATAACATAATGTCATACTTAATAATTAGTTAATTAATTTTTTTCAACGAAAATTTGCTAAAAAAAATTTGTGGCCAAAAAAAATATTACGATAAAGAAAATAATTTTTTTGTTAAATTTTTTTTACAGATAAATTTTGACAAAAAAAATTATTTTCTCATCATTATATATTTCTTTTGGCCACAAATAATTTTTTTACTGAGAAAATTTAAAAATAAGTAAATTTCTCATCGTCATATTTTTTTGCGCTTTTGCGCTACGTATAATATTTTTGTAAAATTTTTTTACAGAGAAATTTTTACAACAAAATTATATTTCATCGTGATTTTTTTTAAGACACAAATAAGTTTTTTACAAAGAAAATTTGAAGAAAAAATTATTTTCTCATTGTGATATTGTTTTGTGCTACAAATAATATTTTTGTTAAATTTTCATAGTAAAAAAAAATTAATTAACTAATAATTACATTATTTAGTTAATTAATTTTTTTACAGAGAAATATTGACAAACAAATTATTTTCCTATCGTGATAATTTTTTTAGGCCACAAAATAATTTTTTTACAGAGATCCAAACACCATATTACATTCCACATTTTCATATAACATCTTAATGAACAATTTTAGTGAAGTTACTTTGTCTTTGACATATTTTTTCTGCACTTAATTGTCTTCTTTTGAAACAAGAAAAAAGTTTTTTGTTGAGCGTACAGCACTGACTTGCATAATACGTCTTTATTGTTCGCACACTTCACTGCAACGAATGTGAAAAGTTCGCTGACATTGCTAATAAATACTTACATACAAAGACAGATGGATCTAGTGTGATAAAACAAAAAAAACGCGATGGCTCAACCCTGACCACTGTCCAACCCTGACTACTCTCCCCTAATAACTATAGAAAAATAATAAAAATAAAAAAAATTAATTTTAAGCAATTGATTTTCTAAATTATTATTAAATTTTTAATATATGGCTAATTATTGGTTGCCAATCATTGCCATCGGCGTGGACAGCCCATGACTTTACCAATAATGGTCCATTATTGGGTACCATTATTAAAATTATATTGGCATCCCTGGCTCCCATTATTAGGCCATTAATACGCCAATGGTATATTTCCCATTGGGTGATATAAAAAGGAACAATTTTGTATAAAAATTTAAGAAAATTGTTCCTCTTCGTATCACTAATATTATTTGACATACAACCCATCTTTTTAAACATTTGTTTGTATACCAAATAAGTTCGCTTCGAGTACGGAACCCTCGATTTCAGTGCGAGTGTAATTCGCACTTGTCCGATTTTATTATTTTAGAGTTATAACGACTGAAGAAATAAACTTTAGGAAAAAGTCCACTTTTTCCATTTCTTATCATGTT